CAAACTGCAATGGCAAACTATGGTCAAGTGCCAACAGATGTACAAATGCAAACTGCCATGTCAAATGACGCTGCGTTAGGTTTGCCACCATGGTATGCAAATATGAGATGGAAAGAGTTTTATACAAACCCTGAAGTGGGATATAAACAACTTTATGCAGATGACGCGAACACAGGAGTTGACCCAGAATATGTTTTTCTACCAGAGGAGAAACAGAATGTATGAGCTCCAGTTAAAGAATGCTATGGAACTCAACAGGAAACGTAAGAGACTAGGCGGACATTAGATTTTTACATATAGTAAAATGGGTTTCTTCAGTAAGATAGGAAACTTCTTTCGAAATGTTGGAAGAGGTATATGGAATGGAATAAAAACCGTAGGAAGAGGAATTTGGAACGGAGTCAAAAATATTGGTAAAAGAGTAGGTCAGTTTGTTGGTATTATACCTAAAGACCCTGAACCAGAAGAACAAGCTCCTGTTATACAACAGCCTGAACCTGCACCACAGTCTAGTTGGCAACCAAATCCAACACCTCAACCGTATTAAAAAATTATATTTTTACCGTTCGATAGTAGTTGTATATGAAACTAAGTTCTAAGTAAAACGCATGGTATAATGGAATTATTCTTTTTCTTCCATCTGTAGTAAACCATACTTGAAAGTCTGAAATACTTCCACTTGGTGGTTCGTATAACTTTGTAGGTTTTTCGTAAAAGTCATTTGCCAAGCATAAGAAAGAGTTTTGGGCGCCAGAAAATGAAGCATGAACAATAATAGCATCTTGGTCGAAAACATTTTCATATGTTCCATTAGGGTTTTCGACTTCATAAAAGTCTGGGTGTACTGGATATGCTGCAGGCTGATTTAACATCCTCATAAATCTATACCATGCCAAGTTGTTATATTTTGTAGAAATATAAACGTTTTCTCCAAGGTCTTCTATTCTATTGATTTTAACAGTTGCATTTTTCCTGTCATAAATAATATCGAGATGGTATTCTCCCTCGTCAATGTTATACTGTTTTGCATATTCGATATAGATATCGTTTATTTTTTCTTGAAAAGCTTGAAGAGTTGTTTCTAAGTTTACAAGCAAACTAACTTGTAAAAGTTTTCCCTGTTCAAATTTCTCATACATACGTTTTTCTTTGTTATAGTATCGAACTTCAAAACCGACCGTAAATGGGAAACCATGTATGGCTTCTGAAATGAACTTCATTCTACGAAAGCCAATAGCTTTTGTGACAGATGGGTCTCTTAGCCATCTTAATGGGTAGTCAAAACGATAGCCTTCATGCTTTACGGTCTCTGTCTCAAACTTTTGACCGACATTAGTAAAAAGTTCATCTAATGGTTTAGTTGTAGCAACTCTTGAATTTTCTTTTTCTATTGGAAGCATATTTTATCTAGAATAAAAATGTCGAAAGATATTGCTTCCATGAGAGAAATACAACACAACCGACAACTCATTATGCAAGCTCTAAATAAGAACACAACAAACTTTTCAAACTATTCTAAGATATCTGAGTCATTGAAAGAAGGAAACTTAAAACTGACATTAAACCCAATGACAGATGAGTTTCTGTTTCAAGACAATAAGAACCATACTGTCTGTATAAATCCAACAAAAGGAACTTTAAACGAGAAACCTATAAATGAACTTCTTTTGAAAACAGATGTTGACAACAAAGCTGACAAAGAATATGTAGACGATGCAATAGCAAAAGAAGAAGAAAGAGCTAACAATGCTTATGCAACAAAAGAACATACTCATCCTGAACTAGCAGACAAAACATATGTTGACAATAAAATGTCAAGTGAAGTGACGAGAGCTGAAAACGAATATTCTAAAAAGACTCATACACATTCTATATCTGAAATAACAGACTTACAAGAAACCTTAAACAGGAAAAGTGCCGTTGGACATACACATACCATTGCAAATATTACAAACTTACAAGAAACCTTAAACAGGAAAAGTGCCGTTGGACATACACATTCTATATCTGAAATAACAAACTTACAAGAAACCTTAAACAGGAAAAGTGCCGTTGGACATACACATACCATTGCAAATATTACAAACTTACAAGAAACCTTAAACAGGAAAAGTGCCGTTGGACATACACATACATCTTCTGAAATAACAGACTTAAACGTTAGCCTTGAAAATAAAGCAGATAAAACATATGTCAATGAAATATACCAAAGTTTGATAGGAACAAAAAATATTGAAACTATTGTTGGTGACTTTTCTGTCAATGAAGAAAATAAATATTTTAGATGGCAGTTTGTACAGTCCTTAGAAAATGGTACACGGTATAAACTCATTCCGAAAAATAACAATGAAATGTATGTAAGCTATAAAAAGAATAATGGTACACAAGTTAAAGTTCCATTAGACAACAACTGCTACTTAAACTTATATGGAGACGAACAAAAGAAATATTTAAGAGTTTATGAAATGAACAGATATGACATTGCCTGACCCAGCTCCAGCACCATATTATTTATGACTATGGAGATGACGTCAGAACACCACATGTAGATGAACAAAAGCTAACATTATATTTAGATTAATTATAGATATAAAAGATATAATGCAATAGAAAAAACGAGAATAGTATACTATTATGAAGATGACAGAATAAATATTATAGTCAAGATTTTACCTACCTGAAAACATAAGATTATATTATAAAAAAATATTCTGACACAAACCAGAAGAAACCTGAAATAGTTGCACTATATTTTTAAGTTCAAAAGAGACAATCCTATAATGTCTCATATGTTTGATTTAATGAACCCAGTAGGTTCTATTTATACATCTATGGAAGCAAGAGGTCCTCAAGTAATGTTTGGTGTTGGTGCATGGGAACAAATAGTCGACAGGTTTTTGTATTGTGCAAACTCTTCAAAGGAAAACAGGTGGAAGTAAAACGATTTCAGGTGAAAATTTACCTGCACATAGTCACTAATAGATTTAAGTACATCTCAAGCGGTTGGCATAAACATAAATTTGGGATTGGTCAGCAATGACAAAAGGTAAAGGATATGATGTTAAAGACAACGTTCAGTTTGCTATAAATTGTTTCTGGGGTAACACTCGGGAGATGGAAACCATACACATCGCGTTTCGGGATATACGCAAACAACGGGACAAAGTAAAGACTACATGCCACCTTACATGACAGTTTACGCATGGTATAGAATTGCTTAGTCGTCATTTTCAACTTCTTTAGCATATTCGTCAGGAGTTGTCTTATATTTGTTAGGAACTGTCTTTGAAAGTATACCACCTTGAACTTTGACAAGTTTGAAACGAGGTCTGACAATAGTAGTTTTATCTTCTGCTTGCAGTGTGTACATTTGCCATGTTTGCCTAAAACTTCATAATATTCTCTTGTATACTTTCTTCTATTTTTTACGAACACGAATGTGAGTACCTGTCGGGTTCCCATTGTTGTCATAGTCAATAGTATTTTCATATGGGTCGCGTTTAGGTATTTCTATTTTTACTTTGTCACCTTTCTGAAGTTTGAAGCCCGGCATTCTTTCTTGTTTGTCTCTTTTGACTAAATTATTAAATATATAGTCTTTCTCTAAGTCAGGGTTGTTTTTCATTTCTTCAGGGGAGTGGTTTCCCAAACCTTTTTGTTTACGGCTATTGTAAATATTTAAAAACTGTCTCCTTTGCTTGGAGAAGTGTCTATATTGTCGTCATATGACATTTCATTTGCTTCACCACCTTGTGGTTGGTTTAAGTCTCTTAACATTTTTATACAACCGTCAATGACACCAAGAGCAGAATGGTTTTGGTCGACAATGAAATATTGGTTTACATTTTTTGAACGCAGATAGTTTTTTACATCATCTGATTTGAAAGAACTTTCACAGTCAGATGTCAGTTTTGTTGGATGGTATTTGTCAACGAATATTGTCAAAGCTGCTAAGATATCTAAAATAGCTTTGGACTGTAATGGTATGGCTTCACAGTATCTTGTGTTTTGACCGACAAATATTAGCCAGTATGGTGGTCCATCTTCTCTATACCTCGGAATGTTTTCCAAGATATCCATAAACCAAGCATTTGGTGTTGAACTAAAGATTTTTACCATGAGTGCTTTCTTTGTCGCTTTAGAAAACATAGGGGTCCTTGTTTGGATTCGTCATTTTTATCCTATAAGAAATGGGTTATTTGGCGCATTAGCAGGAGTTTGCATCCAGATTTTTGCCCGCAGGGGGAACAATAGCCAGAGGTGTATTTGGAGTTGGAAGGAAGATTTTGAGTACATTAGGTATACTTAAAGAGAAAGCACAACCTATTATACAAACTGTACAGAAAGGTTGGGATGTAGCACGAGATGCAACAAATCTTATTCCAAATCCTGAAACAAGAGGAAAAGTTCAAGGATGGATGGACAATGTAGGAAGACAAGCAGGAAACTATTATAACAAAGCAAATGACTACTATAACCAAGCAGGACACTATATGGACCAAGGTGAAAGATTCTTTAACAGAGGATATAACCATGCACAAATGGGTAAACAATAACCAACCTCAACCGCCTCAAACGTGGGGAATGTAAAGTTTTTTACTGAGATGAAATGAACAATACAGCATTGAGACAAATGGGTTCAAGATGGATTTGTCGGCTTCCAGCAGTTACACAACGTGTTTGTCAAGTTCTTCCTATAACCTCAGGAAGTTTTAGACCGACTTAAAAACCTAAAACAACCAGTTGAAAACAAACCAAACTAAAATTTTTTACTGAGATGAAATGACCGAAGAAGTTGAAACGGTAGATTTGACACCACAAACAAAAAGTTCAGAACCATTGTCAAAACCTGTCAAAGAACTTACGATGAAGAGAAAAATTCAATAATAGAAAGTGCCAGGTCTGGAAATACAAACCCTAACTACAAAGTCACTTTTCATAAAAATGGAACGGCTAGTATCTCAAAAAAGAAACAGACTCTCACAAATAAAATATTGAAGTCTGAAGGAGCTTTCGAGACAACAGATGGAAAAGTTTACTTCACTGACCAACAGTTCATTATAGAACATCTCATTGACTTAGAGTCGAAATATTCTAAACTTTACAACAAACACAAAAAGTTGAAAGGAAAACAAAAACAAATGGCATATGATATTTATGAAGATGTTGACGACACAACTGTTCCTGCAAGTGAAGTAAAGTCAGAGAAACCGAAAAGTGACGAAAAACCGATAGAAGAAGAAAAACCAAAAACTGAAGATAAACCAAAACCAAAGTTTAGTTTGGAAACTAAACCAAGTCAACCTTCATTAGCTGGTATGGGTTGGCGTCAAAGACTTATGGCAGCAGGCGGTTATGTAAAGTAAAGAAAAAATATTTTTTTTCTTTTTATAAAAATGCCCCCATATAGAATGGATAGAAAATCTGCTAGAATAAAAGCAGAGTTGCAAAGATATGGTTGGAGAGTTTCGAAGAAGTTTAAATATAGGAAGGGAAGACCCATAAAAGTCTATGACAAATTGTCTGGTCTTCGCTACGAAATGGATTTGGAAACAGCACGTGCCAATTATCCAAACAGACTAGAGAGGTTAGAAGAAGAAACGTCTTATGGACATGCCTTTCGATGTTAGTGAACCTCAAGTTGAAGGACACGACGGCTTTGCCAGATTCTACTGGAAACATGACGAACAATTGCATCCTTTGAGAAGGAAAAAAGGTAGTGCAGAGGATGGTCATGCTCCCATGGAAAGAACAAGATATGCATATGAAAAGTATCGTGAAGTTAGAAGTCAAATTACATCTGGTCGAACCTTTACAGTAAACTTTTGACGAAGGAAAGAACAAAGAAGGCTTCATGGGTGTACTTGCTGCAATTCAAGACGGAAATAAGAAAGGACACAATCTCAGATTGACCATAACGGATTTGGATGGTCACATTTACTATGCAAATGGCAATGAACAAACAGCTGCAAAACTTCTTGACGCTTTCAAGACTACAAAGAGAGAACAAATGGTTGACTCCGACTCAGACATTTTGAATGCAATTGAAGGAATTGCAAGTGTCAAGTTCGAATGGTACCAACCTAACCCTCAAGCAGTCAGACAACATGCTGGATACTTCCCGTTCATAAATAAGTCTGACATTGACTTGACAAGGTATGGAATTTACAATTCAATTGAAACAATTGTCAATGAACCTTGCATTCTTACATGTCTCAGGAACTCTGGTCTTGTTACAGATGAGAAGATGAAGTATCTTGAGTCATGTGTGAAGACAAGGTACATTCTCAGAGGTCAATTGGCAAAAATTGCACCGTTGGCAAATGTCAATATCCGAGTCAACATACCTACAGCTAAAGGTTCTTCACATGACGACTATGTTGTTGACAAAGACTTACCATGGTTGAAGATTGCAATTGTCCACAACCACTTCATGTTGAACGAAAGTCTTACAAACCCATTGTTCGGAAAAGGCAAGTGCAACATTGTCAGAGCTGTAAACATTCTTTTCGAGAAAGGTTTGTTGGAACCAATTCCAGATGACAAGCTGACAGAAACTTTTGTACCAAAAGACGAAACAAACTTTTCACTGTTAGCAAGACCAAAAGTTGTTCCAGACAAAGTTCTAGTACAAAAGAAGTACACAATTCCACAAGGAGTTGGATTGTTCGGATACCAACCTGAACCAGAAGAACTTCCAATGAGGTTGCAAGAACTTCAAGATGCTATAAGCAAACTTCCATTGAGACATCCAATTGACGTCAAATTGTATTGGAGAGCATCTGAGTTAGGTCAGAAGGTTTTATATGAAACAGGTTGCTTCGACGATGTTTATGAGATAACAGGAGAAGTTTCTCAGAAGATAAGAGACTCACTTGAATTTCCACAAACTGGACCAATTGGTTGCGACAAGTTCGACTCAGATGAAAAGATATACTATGTCGACCTTAACGCTGCATACATGAGGTTTGTCCAATATATTCCGACTGGAATTCCAAACGAAGATGGTGAGTTCCCGGGAAGGAACTATACAGTTGGAAAAGTCATACAACAACTGTATGATATTAGGAAAGCTTCAAACCCCAAACTTGCAATGACACTCAAATTGCTTATGAATTCGACATGGGGATATTCCATTAAGAAACCTCAAGAGATGAAGAGTAAACATTATGAGAAGGTCGACAACTTTGTTGAAAGGTTTTCTCCTTTTGTTTTGAAGTACGAATTCACTCAAGGTCAAAGTGGCTTAGTAACCACATTAAAACCTATTGTCGAACATTGGTCTTACCCTCAGTTCGCAAAGGCAGTCCTTGACAACTACAACAAATTCTTCTCCGAAGTCAAATCCAAAGTGAAGGTTTACTATGAGAACATTGACGCACTCATGACGAACGAAGAAGGGTACAACAAACTCATTGAAATGGGCATGGTCGGTGAAAAGATGGGTCAATTCAAATTGGACAAAATTTTCACCGAAGTTCATGTCCTCTCCAAGCGTAAGTACTGGGGCATACTTGAAGACGGCACAGAAATAAAACATTGCATGAAATAAAAATTTATTTTTTAAAAAGTGACATTTTTTAATTTTATTTGAAATGTACGCTGAGTTTGTTGGAGAAGACCGTTGGGAAACTTGTTTGTTAGATGAGAAATATGAAATGGCATACCATTTTAAAACAATATATTTTTACATATATTAAATGCTTCAGGTTGAAAAACAAAGAACAAAAGTAGTAGATACAAAACCGTTAGACTATATCTTTACAAATGCTGGTAGGACTATTTCAGATGAAGAAATTTCATCCCGAACATACAGGTTTGACTATCCAATTCGTTGGCTTCAAAGTCCTTCAGATGCAAAGGCAATAGGATTTAGAAGAGTTTTGTTTTCAAATAGAACTAACGCATTTATGTTCGCAGTATATTTTCATGGGCAGTATAAAGGTTCTGATGGTCTAATAGACAAATTTGACGAAATGAGGATCTTTACAGTTCGTTCAGACGAAAGTCTTGAGAAAACTCTAAATGACTTTCAAACTCAAATGAACAAATATTATTGGGAATTTCAAGAAAAATACGACTCTTTACTAAATGGAACATACTATCTGAAACTAGAATATGACAAGATGAACTCCACCGTTTCATTTCAAAAGATTGAAATTAACCCTCCAAGAGATACAGAGTTTTTATATTGGAAAGTAGACAAACGTTCTTGGGCACAATTTCTTCGGTTACTAAACCAGAACGAACCATTACCACCAGATGGTCCATTTAAATTTATACTTCCACCAGCAGATTTGACAGTTTATAGAAACGTGTTTGACCCTCAAAATGTTATGTGTCATGCAAGTTTCAGTTCAAGCAACAATAGTTTTCTATGTATTGGTAAGGACTTTTATGACTTTGCTTCTAAATTCTACGAACCACCTAGTAACAGTTTCTCTGACTTTCAAGTTTGGTTCACAACAAATGGTGTGCAACATATTATTCCATTGTACTATGACTTTTATCTCGAATTGTCTTTCATATATAACTACGGAAAAGTGCTGAAAAAGTATTGAAAAATAATGTTTATGTTAGCATGTTAGATCTAACACGTTTTCTAACCTCTTGAATTTGTCAAGACTTCATCGTAAATGTTTTGTCAAGAATATAACAACCGTCTGAATTCAGACGGTTGCTTTTTATATAAAATTCATGCAGGAAATTCTTGAGTTTTGGTTGAAAGAATACGGTGGAGCCAAAAGTGGCTCGACCTCAAAACAAGCATTTTATGAGCTTACTAAGGGTGTTATGAATGAATTCAAATGTATTTACATACATCCTGACCTCGTTCATTTTGTTCCCGGACCAAAAATATAATTTAGGGTAGAAGGTTAGATCTAACCTCTTTTCTAACCTCTTTTCTACCCTCTTGAATTTTCATGATTTCATCGTAAATGTTTTGTCAAGACTTCTTCATGAATGTTTTGTCAAGACTTCTTCGTACATGCTTTGTCAAACATGAACGTAAATGTTTTGTCAAGACTTCTTCGTAAATGTTTTGTCAAGACTTCTTCATGAATGTTTTGTCAAGGCTTCTTCGTACATGCTTTGTCAAACATGAACGTAAATGTTTTGTCAAGACTTCTTCATCGTAATGAGCGTAAATCAGACAAAAATATAATTTAGGTGAAGTGGTGCGATCTCACCTCTTTTTTCACCTGTTTTCTAACCTCTTGAATTTTCATGAATTTCCTTAAGATAGAAAAAATAAAGTTAGTTTTATTTTTTTATTTTGTATGTTAGATATGATTTCAGGGATTTTTTTGACGAAGTGTCAATGTTCACTTCGTCAAAAAATAACAGTTATCTAATGAAAAAGTGTCATTTTTTTGTATTTTTTTGTATGTAAGATATGATTTCAGGGATTTTTTTGACGAAGTGTCAATGTTCACTTCGTCAAAAAATAACAGTTATCTAATGAAAAAGTGTCATGATTTCATCGTAAATGTTTTGTCAAGACTTCTTCGTAAATGTTTTGTCAAGACTTCTTCATCGTAATGAGTGTAAATGTTTTGTCAAACATGAACGTACATGTTTTGTCAAACATGAACGTACATGTTTTGTCAAGACTTCTTCATCGTAATGAGTGTAAATGTTTTGTCAAGACTTCTTCGTAAATGTTTTGTCAAGACTTCTTCATCGTAATGAGCGTAAATCAGACAAAAATAATGTTTAGGTGAAGTGGTGCGATCTCACCTCCTTTTTCACCTCTTTTTTCACCTCTTGAATTTTCATGAATTTTCCCGAAATAAAAAATAAAGTTAGTTTTATTTTTTTTATTTTTTTTTATTTTGTATAAAAAAATAAAAATGTCAACAATCGGCACAACAACAGTTCAAACAACAACAGCACCTAACTCGTTAGTCATGAATCCAACATCTATGTTAGTAGAGATGAAAAGCTTCATTCCTTCTTCATATACTTTCGAAACAAAAATCCAGAAGATAAAGCAAGAACTTTTAACATGTAATTTAGACTGTAGTGCGAAAGATGAAACAAATGAAGAATATCTTTATGAAATGCAGGACCTCATCGACCATTTGCCTAAACTACCTGAAATCCAACAACAAAAACTCACTATTCCTGAATTCGACGAAATTGAAGTCAAAGCAACTGACTCAGTAGAAATAAAGAAGTTCATACGAAAGGTAAACTATGAGTTTCTAGGATTTCATTGCAACCATAAGGTTATGGACAAAGATTGCGACATGGTATATAAGAATGTTTCTGACATATATAAATCTGAAGAATTTAAGACCTACGACAACTTTGTTTCGTTAGTTGCTGAATGTGTATGGCAGATAAGAGATAAAGATAGAAG